ACAATTTACCGAACCAAGGACTGACCGACCAGATACTCAGCCCGTCCCATTTCCGCCCCTCCCCTACCCGACTAGCCCCCTTTTTATGGTGAGCATGACGTCACATGGTATGGAATAGCCCCCCGGCCAGCTCGGGTCACCTGTCCTGGCTCCTTGTAAAATTAACTCTATCCTTGCCAGAACCAGGACGCTATTAAAGTATTTGTATATTAAATATGTTCACAATTGTTCTAGTCAGATAAACCCTAAGGTTCACAGTGACAAAATATATCTTACTTATTCTGCCCTTAGACAGGAAAATCTGAAGAATTATTGAGTGCTCTTGGTTGCCATGGTTTCCCTCCAACATCAGACTGTGAGGAACTACTGATAGAATATCTGGAGGTAGAGGACAGTGAGGACCAGCAGCTCATGCCAAGCCATGACAAAGGTCATACCAGTAAAAATGCAAAAATGATACCTAAGGAAACCAGCAGTGACTCGAGCCGAGGGAGCTGTGATAGCCGTTCTCTCCTTGATCAGAAGGGCAGGGAGTCCTGTGCCCTTCCATCAGCACTTCATACACAAGATGCAAGAGATGTTCAAGAAAATAAAGGAGGAAAAAAGACCTGTAAAACGCATCATATAGCCTCAGAACAGGAAATAGTCCTTTTTAACAATGACAGTACAAAATCATCCACATGGCCTGCAGTTCAGTTACCTAATAATCAGTCTCCTGTGTTTGCCTACCACAGTACTGTAGATGCACATAAGATAATACTGAATACCACAAATGTGAACATTGCATCAGTTTTGGTGGAAAACGAAGAAAAGCATCAGTCACAATACCCTATCACTGAAACTGTCCATTACAACATGGAAAAGCAAAGAGAGATGGAAAATTTGCTTTCCAAAACTGACCAACCCACAGTGCAGGCCAAACAAAACAGACCTAATCACAGGCCACCTTTTTGGAATCCTAAACTAATGGATTATGTAGAAGTTCACAAAGTCAGAAAAGAGGAGGATCCATCACTATTCCTGCAACATAAAGGAAATAGAGGAAAGACTAAGAAATCCACCAAAGAGTATACCAAGGTCTCAACAGTTGCGGACCGTAATTTTCTAGTATTAATGCCAGATGCACGCATCCAGCACAGACCTGTGTCTCCAGAACCTGCAACAGAAACGTGTCAGAACCGTCAGCAAGGTCAAGATGAGAAAAATACAACATTTCCAAATGAGCACAGAAGAGACAACAGCGGATCAGACTACATGGACCCATCTTCCTTTATGCCCTCCTTTAAATAACTAGTAGTTAGTACAGTACATACTTAGTAGTTATGTACAGTAAAACAAAACCATATAGCAAATAGCTCCTTAAAAAATCCTAGCCTCCTATGTGTATTGTACAGGGAATAAACTAAACTGTGGGTTGAGGTAATAATCATGGAAGTAAACCTTGGATCATTAACACATGTTTCTGACACAGGGAAATGAGGAAAGGGGTATTATCTGCCATGAAAAATACATTGTAAACGAATTACTCAGCTCTGCAGAGCTTCTATTAGTTGATTAAGCCTGAGGGAATACTGCAGGTTCTACAAAGATGAAAATTGTTACCGGTCAGTCAGTACACCATAGTGATCTGAGCAGTTCCTAAATCAGATAAATCATTGCACAATAGCATTCTGATCTACAATATATTTTCTTCTGAATACATTCTGACACTAGATTAAGTTTTCTTTACATTTTTTCTCAATCCTTAAGAAAAAAGCTCTTATATATGACAAAAAATTACAGTATAATATATATTCAAAAAATTACAGTAAAATAACAAATTTTTCTATGTTTTTGCTTTGTTGCAATGTGACAGAAAATTTTGCATCCCATTCATATCCTAATCCAATCAAACCAAACATGAAAAAAAAAGAATATTTGATATACTGCCTTACTGTATATAATATACAATTCTACTTTAGTACAAGCCCATATGTTTAACAATGTATTTTTAAAAGCTATTTTTCTATTACCAAAAAAAAGGCAAGATAAAATATTTTTTGATTTCCCAATGCTATTTAGCTACTTAGGAACTTTTCTGTTTCCTACTGCTGAGGCAGCAGTAACAAGTAAAGCTACCATTTCTATACAAAGCATAAAATTAAACTTTATATTAATAAATAATATGAAGTAATTTTTAAACTGTATTTCTAATATATTGCAAACTTATTACTATTTGAATTGTAAATTATTTATTGCACATGGTTTTTATCACCTGTAGTTATAAAATTAAAACAGAATCCAGGTTTTGAGAGCAAAGCTGCTTTCCCACTGAATTTGTACTCTGATGCCAGTCATGAATGGAATGGTGTTCTCCTGCATCCTTAGACATTGCATTTTTCTTTGAGTCTGGAAGGAAAGTTTGAAGTGAGATTTTTTTATAGTGAACTTAACATTAATTTTGGAATCCAGCCTCCAAAGTCAAAGATACGAGGCATAAAGTTTGAGTCAGAGCTCTGCTGAAATAGTGGAGGGAATGAGGAAAGGAGTCCATGTACTTGGGCTGGACAGATGTCATAGAATCTTAGAATCATTTAGGTTGGAAAAGACCTTTAAGATCAAGTCCAACCATTAACCTAGCACTGCCAAGTCCACCACTAAACCATGTCCCTAAGCACCACATCTATGCATCTTCTAAACGCCTCCAGGGATGGTGACTCCACCACTTCCCTGGGCAGCCTGTTCCAGTGCTTGATAACCCTTTTGGTGAAGAAAAGTTCCCTAACATCCAATCTAAACCTCCCCTGGCACAACTTGAGGCCATTTCCTCTTGTCCCTGGAACAGCAGTGGGAACAGTTCCACTAGCTTCAGTGGAAATTGGAAACAAGGTAAGAGAAATTGTACTGTACACATGAAGGAAAGTGTATTTACTATAGACGAGCTCTCTTCTGTTCTTGTCCTTCCTGAGCAGCTTTACATTTCTCCAGCTTTTCATGATTTTACGCACTGAGCCAGGCAGTATCAGGTAACCTGCTGCAGAGCCAGCCAAAACAGACTTTCAGATTTTGAAGGTCATAGAAGGCCACATCTAACTTGGCAAATCAGATTCTCACCTTTTACCTTCATGCAATGGAACTGCTTGAGGACAGATCAGCTGAGCTGTCTAGCCCTTCCGCTGGCAGGACTTTAGAATTTAACTAATTGCCTGTGTGTCTGTAAACATATGTGTTAGTGTATACTGCAACACTTACTTTAGGCATCAAATTTAGAGTCTGTGTCCTCTATACAGGCAACATACTGACACTTGCAGAGGTTGATCAGAGCAGTTTGGGTGCTCTGCTCAATGTGTAGGGAGGTATCTTAGATTCTTAATTCAGCTACTTATTTAACATATGAAGACATGAAGTGACTACTCCAGGCAGCAACCAAACATAATTTTTTTTTTTTAGTTATAGTTAACAGGACAATTTTACTGTGTATCTTACAAATTTTCTAGAGATGATAAAAGTACTGCAAAAAAACTATCAACTTCTCAGTCAAAACTGGAATGTTTTGCAGAGTAGCAACTTGTGTGTGTGCATGTATGTGAGCTGATAGTATGCTCTTACTGGCAGTGCTTCATTCACATTTCAGTTTTCTGACTGACTCTGACAGAGCTGATCCAGATCAGACACCTTCTCTTTCTTTATACAGATAGACATATCTGAGCCAAGCCATTGTTTTCTACTCCTAATGCTGTGCATAAAGTCATTGAATCATAGAATATCCTGAGTTGGAAGGGACCCATAAGGACCATGAAGTCCAACTCCTCGCTCCACAGTAGGACCAGCCGAATCAGAGCATATGACTGAGAGCGTTATCCAGACACTTCTTGAACTCAGTCAAGCTCAGTGCTGTGACCACTTCCCTGGGGAGCCCGTTCCAGTGCCCGACCACCCTCTCAGTGAAGAACCTTTTCCTGATATCCAACCTAAACTTCCCCTGTCGCAGCTTCATGCCGTTCCCTCGGGTTCTATCACTGGTGACCAGAGGGAGGAGATCAGCACCTGCCCCTTTGCCTTCCTCTCGTGAGGAAGTTGTAGGCCATGATGAGGTCTCCCCTCAGTCTCCTCTTCTCTAGGCTCAACAAACCAAGGGACTTCAGCTTCTCCTCATACGTCTTCCCCTCTAGACCCTTCACCATCTTTGTTGCTCTCCTTTGGACACTCTCCAGTAGTTTTATGTCCTTCTTGTACTGTGGCGCCCAAAACTGCACGCAGTACTAGAGGCAAGGCCGTACCAGTGCACTGTAGAGTGGGACAATCGCTTCCCTAGACCAGCTAGCAATGCCGTGCTTGATGCGCCCCAGGATATGGTTGGCCTTCCTGGTAGCCTGGGCACACTGCTGACTCATGTTCAACTTGCTGTCAACCAAGAACCTTTCAGCATGGCTGGTCTCCAGCATCTCATCGCCCAGTCTGTATGTATAGCCAGGGTTGCCCCTTCCCAGGTGCAGAATTCAGCACTTGCCCTTGTTAAACCTCATGCGGTTGGTGATTGCCCATTTCTCCAATCTGCCCAGATCTCTCTGCAAGGCCTCTCCACCCTCAATGGAATCAGTAGCTCCTCCCAATTTGGTGTCATCTGCAAACCTGCTCACAACACCTTCTAGTCCTACATCCAAGTCGTTTATGAAAACATTAAAAAAGAACTGGCCCTAAAATGGAGCCCTGGGGAACCCCACTGGCGACTGGCCGCCAGCCTGATGTAACCCTGTTTACCATAACTCTTTGGGCCCGACCCGTCAGCCAGTTGCCCACCCATTGGACTATGTTTTTGTCAAACTGTATGCTGGACATTTTGTCCAGAAGGATACTGTGAGAGACAGTATCAAAAGCTTTACTGAAATCTAAAAAAATGGCATCAACTGGCTTCCCTTGGTCAACTAGATGGGTGAGCTTGTCGTAAAAGGAAACTAAGTTTGTTAAACAGGCCCTTCCTCTTACGAACCCGCGCTGGCTGTGACCAATGATTGTGTTGTCCTTCAGGTGTTTTTCAATAACTCCCAGCATAATTTTCTCCAAAATTTTACCAGGCACTGAGGTGAGACTGACAGGCCTGTAATTACCAGGGTCTTCTTTCTTGCCCTTCCTGAAGATTGGAACATTGTTTGCCAGCTTCCAGTCAACTGGGACCTCTCCAGACTCCAAGACCATTGAAAAATAATTGAGAGAGGTCTCACAATGATATCAGCCAGCTTTCTGAGCACCCTAGGATGAATCCCATCAGGCCCCATGGACTTGTATGCATCCAGGTGGAGCAGCAAGTCCCACACAAGTTCAGGGTCAGCTGGGAGTTTATCATTACTGCAGTCACAGTCCTCCAACTCGGTCCCAGAGCCCATCATCAGTGTTGAAGACAGAGGCGAAGAAGACATTAAACATCTCTGCTTTGTCTATGGCCCTGTTTGTAAGGTGACATGCTGCTACAGGCCTTTCATGATGCACCTAGTGATGCATCGAGGCTAGTGAATCTTACCAAGCCACAGCCTAAAGATTTTCCCTACATAGTGGATTTCTTAGGGTAAAACACAGGTGGCTACACAGATGTTAGAAACCAAAGAAAGCATGGGATAAGGTGTCAGCAGCAGGCTGTTGATGTCATATCGGTTACTTTGGACCTGAGGCAAACAGACACAAATTTTAGCAGATTTTAAGTGTATGATTCATCCTGCCTGACTGAAAGTATCTGTATGTGTACTTCCAGTAATCCACACAGAAGAAGAATGGAGTGGAAGAGTTTCAATACTTTGCCATAAATTACTACTGAAGCTGCAAAATAGCTGTAGCCTAAATTACATTGTGAGGCATCAAATCTCTCCCACCTTTGCTGATGTCTCAATATGCCAAATCATCATGGCTTTCTGCAAAAAGGGAAATTCAGCCAGAGTGGAAAAGGTGCATTTGCTCGTTGCTCTGAGGTAGCTAAGCTTTTTGAGGAATTTGCCAGCTAAATACATTTGAACACAGTTGTCATAAATCTGTTTCATTCTTTAAGCTGAACAAATGTGCAGGATGATTATTTTTCCCTTGAATTTGCTTTTATTTTCTAAAACACCTTGTTACTGCCAAGGTGGGAGCAACACCTTCTGAAAGTTGCCTTTTAACATCTGAAAGTACATTAAGAAAAGAATAAACTAGTGTTCTGTAAAATCAGAATAACCTTCAGCTAAGTGTGTGGGCCTTTCATTCTTTCTCTTTGCAACAATATTTTTGCTTGCAGCTCTTTAAGGAATAGCTTTTTATTAGGAAATATATGAGATTTTGCAGCA